CCTTTTCTCGGGAAATTGAGTTAACTGAAAACCAATGTCAGAGTGTGTCTCGCTCAGCCGTCCCACTCGGGTGCTGAGTGTGATCCCCGTCACTGGGGCGCTGTTTCACTGGGAAAGCATTAACCGACCTCACCACCGCTCACAGGAATTTCACTGGAATTCACCTCCACATCCACCGAATTAACTGCCACAACGGCCGCCGGGCCTAAACACGGGACCTGCCATTTCGCAGAGATTGCATTTGTCCGCATGATCTTGCATGCTTACTCAAGCAGTCTGACCTGAGTTTACAGCAGTTTAATTCGAATTGCATGAACCCACTACAACACCAAGCGCTGAAGCTGCTGCCACTGAGCTAGTGAAGCTCTACGTCCAAAAAGGACACAATCCAATTGCTTGCAGCCGGTTTTTGAAAGGAAAAAGCGCCGATTACGGCGACCTCTGTGTGTCAACCCCTGGGCCAAGGGTTCGCCTCCACCACCACCTTCACCACGGTCTCACATGCAGGGGAGTGGTGCGCGGTCTTGGAGTCACCACTCAACGAGGACACTCCTTGAGCCGCGGTGATATCCGGAAGGGGCGCCTTCTGGACGTACCTGCGTTGAACACACTGACTCCACTGGTTCCCCTCGCCGCTGTTCTTTGTTTTCATGGTTGTTCCCATGCTACCTTCCCCATAAACAGGTTTTCCCACAGCCGCCTTTCAGCTGCCGTCCGCCGCTCGTTCGCTGCTGTCGCGAGTCTGCAGATGTGCACAAACCTTTTGTTGAAAACACCTTCAATTTGATCGGACTTTTCACCTTGCCGTTGAGCCATTCCTTTTCTCGGGAAATTGAGTTAACTGAAAACCAATGTCAGAGTGTGGTTGGACAGAACGGTGTCAAAGAACTGTGGGCAAAGGACCATAATCTGACATAGGAACGAAAGGCCATCTGACAAAGGAACACTTGCCCCAGCAATCTTTCTCACAGTCCTTCTCGTAGGAAGGGAAGTAGCGCATGGCCATGTACAGCCTGCAGGCTCTCTTCCAAACGCAGGTTAGCACTGTGCAATACTGGGTTTATAGGCACCCACAAAACAAACAACAGTCATGTCCAAATACGGTCTCATCTTTACTTTGACTCTTGAGGGCCACCTTGATTATGTCAGAAAAGCTACTAGTAACAAGGGCATCGCTACTAGTAGCAAGGGCATTACTATTAGTAGCTAGAAGCTACTAGCAAAAAGGGTTTAAGGGTTATATTATTACTTGTTTCCCCACGACGCCCAGTTCCCTGCTCACGTCGACGCGTTCTTTCTGCTCAGGCACTCAAGGAGGATCATGAGAAAGGCCATGCCGCTTTGGATCGGCATGTAGAAAGGCCCCCAGAAGAGAGTCCAAAGCCTCGGAATGAGCGAAGCGATGAGCGGCTCTGGGCTTGGCGATGCCGTGGGGGTGCATTTGGTCGCCCGAAAACGGCTCAAGGACAAAGACTTGATTGGCGACCAAACCAGGTTTCAAGGTTCGGGGAGTCTCCAACCAGCTCTGGAATGCCACCGCGCCGATGGACGTGCTGCGGAAGCCTGAGATCAAAGAACTCAGGCTCCGTCTTCCCACTCATGAGATTATCCTTGGGAGCAGAAGGTGGTCGCCAGATGGAATGCAGGACATGCTCATCCACCATCAGTTTGGGGTAGGTATCAAAGGTTTGATTTGAAGACTTTGAGCACTCAAATTACATTATGTTCACTATAGTAGATCTTCAGAATCCATCAATGCTCCAAAAAAGCTTGGCAGCCAGCTTGGCGTCGCAACCATACCCTTCTCAAAGTAGGTGTATTATTACAGAAATTACAGCAAAACAACATATCCATCCAAGTATCCAAGTTGCAGTTGAAGAGGCTGTCCACAAACCAAGCGGTTTCATCTGAGACAGATGCCAACATTAAGAATACCATTGACATGGCGGGATAACCTCAGATGTGGAGACCACAGGACAGCTCAACCACCAACTGGTGACCCTTCAGCAGGTTGCACGACTTCTTTTCGGTGCCAGGCCACCAACAATCACCATGCGAGTGAGCATAGGGCATTCCGCCCACATCGGATAGATGACCTGGCTGGTGATTCAAGAGACATTTGCTTACGTTTGAGATCAGTTATTCGCCACGGAAGAGGGGGGGGGTGAGCTTGTCGGATTCACAAGGTTGTCATCGGACAATGAGCAAGATACAGGTGCACTGGATGCACCAGTGGCAAGGGCAATGGCTTAATCAGAACAGCCCGGGGCCGGTGGCAAAATATATCCAATGACCATTTTCGAGAAGGCTTACTGCGACTTGAAAACACAACAACAGTGGCAAAGCACATGTTTGTTCACCATGCACCAGAAGAACCCACAAGGGATGTTCCAAAACAAAACACCTGTTTCATCGGGAAAACAAACAAGAAATAGCACAACGGAAAGAAACCTCACGATGCATTGCAAATGCCACACATGTCATTGCAAATGCTTCAAAACACCCTGCCCGAAATCAACCAAATCACAAACCGGTTTGAAAGGTCCAACAGTGCCACTTCCAAACAAGGCGAAGAGGCATTTCCCATCGTTCACGGCCCAAGCAGCAGCTGCGTTTGCAGCGACAGATTGGCGTCAAAAGATTTCAAGCAACATGTTGAATGTCCTTTTTGCATTCTTTCCAGGATCAGGTTAGACTGTTATTATACAATGTTAGACAGTGCATGCTATGTAGTAAGGCTTGCACAAAGGTTGTGAAGCTCGGCCCTGTTGGCCCCTTGAACATCTCTCCATTTGCTTTGAACTGGCTACAAGGTGAACAAGCTGACACCTGTGATGTGGCGCGCGCAGTAGTCCGCCATGATAACAAACCTTCCTGCATGTTGTCCTTTCAATCAAGCTACACAGCTGCAAGCGCTTTTCATTGTATGAAAAGTGCCAGCTGCAGCCAGCGCACAGCTGGCTCATCTTCAGCTGTCAAAGCATCTCAAAACATTTCAAAACCAGCAGCGGCACATCTCTGAAACCGTCTGAGTGGATGCACTGGTGCGTCCCTCCTTTTCACCGGACCGAAGCAAACTGCAGGAGGTCCCGGGTCTGCAGCTTCAAGCCACCCTGACTCAGGGCATTCAAGCGAATGGAAGGGAAGAAGGATGTGGTGAGCATCTTTGAGCCAATACTTTCTGCATTTCCTGAGGGATCTGGTCGAAGAATGCTGCCCCGACTCAGTGTTTCATGACATGTTACCAGTCTTTTTGGGCAAATTGCTCTTCTTGCAATTTGCTTCATGCATGAGCCAAACATGCTTGTCGTTTCTCAATCCTTGTCCTACAGTCGACCCCACCACTATGAGGTCTCAGACCGCGGTTGGGTGATGAACAACATCCTGCCACCACTGCAACTCCATCCTTTACATATTCTCGGGCTAGGAGCAAGGAAGATGCTAGGGGCTCCTGGCCTTACTATTAGGAACAAGGAAGCTACGAACGAGGTTTAAAGCTTTGCCTACGAAGAATGCTGTGGGTCAAAACCAGGAGACCAACCGGTTGACCTGCCTGGCAGGTGAAGCTATGTGGACCAAGGCTCCAGGGTTTTTGACCCATCCAATTATTGAGATCTATAGACACTCGAACTACCTACAAACCATTACAAACCCACAACTAGGCCTTCTAGATGGAGGTATAGGCCTTCTAGATGGTCTTCTAGATGGAGGTATTGAAGAAAAAGCTGGTGGTTTATTCATCAAGAGTCTACATTATAGCAGCTTCTCCTTGCCTAACATTCCCCTAGTCCCCTCCTCGGGGCCATCGTTTCCTCGCAAGCGCCGCGGGCCGTGGACCTGATCGAAAGAACGAGTTACGTCACGAGTTACGTCATCGCGCAGCCCATTTCGAAGGCTGGACATGTGCTCCAATCAAATTGGCTAGTGTTTTCCGTCATTCAATCATATTCAATCAACATCCTTGAACAATGTCTGTGATTATGTACACTTTATTGCTTGGAAAGGGGCTCTGTATGACATTACTTGCAGCAAAATCAAACCACACCGGACATCGTTGTTTTGCTCAAAGGCAAGGTTCATAGGAGGCCATCGCTATTAGGTTGGAGGTCATCGCTACTAGGAGAGAGGCCATCGCTATTAGATGCTATTAGGTTGGAGAAGAAACACTCTGCGATTCGCTGTCATGGGTGCCTTTCATGGTGCAGTGCCGGTGCCGGTGATTGACCATTCAAACCCAAGGGACCGTTTCTTTAAACGCTGAAAGTTCTGTCTATGGCAGGGCAGCAGCTAAACTCTTGGCACAAGCATCATGAAGACTCCACCAGTTTTTAAGCCAGCCATGTGCCTTGATCTGGCGGATGTGGGTATCTCTTCCATTCCTTACACGTTGCATGATGTTGGAACATGGCGCTATGGCCTCACGACGAAAGGCCAACCGTTGCTGTCAGCTGCACTCGCACCGAGAACACTGTTTCTGGGAAAAGACATCGCAAGATTTCAACCGAGACACTGATGATTGGTCAGAATGGCCAGCCTTAGCTAAGCTGCGAGGAGCATCGCCGCATCTTAATTCCCCATAGCTATGACTCGAAACATCTACTCCAAGTCGCTGGATCAAGTGCGTTCGGACGAAGTCGACGGCACCACCCATCTCCGGGTCTCGCAGGGTGCAGCTGGAAGGCAACTCCTGCGAGTGAAGCTGCGCATCGCGCAGGAAGTGATGGCAGGTGCCGGTTTTGTGGGGCGAAACACCATGATTCATCCAACCAAATCCATGGTGCAACAACCACAAGTCAGTATGGGATGTTCTAAGCCAAGGGACGACCTCGCGAATTCGAGGCTTTGCCAAGGGCACGTTGATCCAACCTGTAGGCGGCAGCATGTGATGCGCCCGCTATTGGGACCCACCGGACACTTTTGAGGGGTGGGGACAGCGGATCCTTCAGGTGGAGCCGCTGGAAGCGGGCTTCTACTTCAGGTGGAGTTGCTGGGACATGCGTCTACTGCAGGCCAGGTATGGCAGGGTGGAGCGCTCACCTAGCCAAATGGATAGAATTCTGGTAGGGAGTACAGTCCGAAATCACAGGACCTCACATCAACCCAAGAGAAGCTACTTCGAAAGGCCTCAAGCAGGTGATATGCAGCGCTGTAAGCCCGATTCAGAAACCGCTAAAGCCCCTCTTGCACAGCTATTTTCACAAAAGTTTCGACCACGTAGCCATCAGGCTCTTTCAGCTCCAACAACTGCACCTGTGCGCAGTCTTCGACCAGTCGGTCTTCGCGGACAGAAGTGGTATGAAAGCCACAAAGATTCAAAGCGGGGTAACAGGGGGGGGCCCTCAATACGACCAAATTGGGTGTTGTGTTCTCCAATGATTAATTCCAGTCTTTTTTGTCTCTTTCCTGGTAATGTTTGATGCTGCAAAACAAGACTCACGCGCATTGTTTGGTAACGTGGCTAATCGAACGTCCCACCGATGATGATATGCCGCAGCTCCCTAAACTAACCTCAGCGAGTGCGTTCATTTTTGCTATGTGAATTCTGTTCCTCTCAGGAAGATTATGCAAAGATTCATTGAATGAACGAAGGAACGAACCAATGCGGATTAAGACATGAACGAAGGAATGAAGGAATGAACGAATAATCGTAATGACTTAATAATTTGAATTGTAATTTCATGTAAACTCCTTACGAAAACGCCATTCTTCGCGCAAAAAATACATAATGTTCGCGAATCTTTCGCGAACTGCATGTGTCACTTTCGCGGGGGGCATATCTCAGAAGTCTTCTGTCTCCACATGTATCTCATCTTTCGCAGATCTTTCGCAAAATAAATACAGTAGTGCATTCGCAGACTCGAACAAATACTTTTGCAACATGCAAACAACATGAAAGGCTCTCAATGAACCTAGGCCTTATTTCGACCTTTTGATCGGTGGCGCATGTTCATCGGTTGCCGGGACGTACGACGCGGCTTCAGCGGGACGCCACGACGCCACGACGGGCTTCGGCTTCCGTCGCCGCGACGACCGCGGGCGCCTCTTGTAGGTCATGGTGAGCCGTCCCGATGCGAATGGAGATGCGCGAGGGCGTGTAGGACCTCAGGGCGGACCGGAGGTCGCCCACACCGAAGTATGGGGGAGAAAATGAAGAGACCAAGATAGGTCGCTCAATCACAACCATGGGACTCCAAGGGACAAACTGGAAGCTGAAACAATCTCTTTTTGGTCAGAAACGGCTTTTGTTCAAGATCCGCTGAGCTGACTCATTTGTGCAACAGGAGGCACATGAGGGTGGCTAGGTGCACATGGTCGATGTCTTCTTTGCGGCCATACTGCAACATGCGCTCCACGTTGCCCCCGAATAGAAACAACACACTTGGGGCATTCTGGGGGGTCGAAGGGGATTCTCCGCGTCTCTGTTGCAATCTCCCCACAGCAATTCAACCGACACGAACATGCTGGATTCTGTCTGCGCGTCGCTTGTTGTAAAATCCACTCAGTTTGGTCGCGGGGCTCGTCGATCTTGAAGCAAACGAAAAGGCAAATTTCACTGACCTTCACCTGCCACGCTGAGCCAAAAACCACTTGAAGTTTTGATGGCCTCCACCTAGTAGCGTCCTTGTTACTAGGAGTAATGGCCTCCAACCTAATAGCGATGGCCTCCACCTAGTAGCGTCCTTGTTACAGCAAGGCGACGTTTAAACAAACATCAATATAGTCCTGCCATCCGTGGATGCTAACAGGAGCTACGACTGAAGGTTGAGCTGCAGCAGCAAAGCTGGCCATGTGGCAGCCACGGGTCGTCCCAACAATCCCACCGACACCTTCCGTTGAAACTGGATGTTGATCAGGTGGGGCCTCAGCTCAAATGGCACTTGTCCTAGAAACTTGTTTGTCTAGTGTGTATATATATTCTATATATACATATATTTAACGTTCCAAAGCTTTCTGATTCTGATGTCATGAGTTTGCAAAGCACATGCCCAGCTCAAACTACCTGAGTACAGGATGATGACTGCGACATGTTGTTATGCAAGAACCAACGGACCGCCCAATTCTTGTCCAAATTCTGACTGGAATCTGCTGTATCCTCTGAGCTTTTGAAGCTAAAGATTTTCAAACATGTTGCTCAACATAGAGCTTCAACCATGGACTCACACAGTGGGCAGGTCGAGAAGACCTGATACAAACCATAGAAATTGATACGCATTGCTATATATGTCAGAAAACTGTGCACCTGTCAATCGTCCTCAGTTCGAGTCTCTGAGAACCAGTTCATTGACTCTGGGCCGGCGATTTCAGCCATGTTGCTGAGGGCCATCTGATTGCCAAAAGCTCTCAGTGCTGCCATCCCTGAGCTGTTCAACACCTGCGATCTCGGCAAAGTCCCAAAATCTCTGCGTCGCATGCGGGAGGGCAAGCGGTGATACTGGTGGCGCCACTCGCTTGAAACAAAGCTGACATCAAGTTGCGGAAATCCTTTGTGAATCTAGCAAATCCTGACAAACTTCCATGCGAGTATGTCAAGCAGTAGTGGACAGACCCCAAATCTACTCGTAGGACAGGTGCTCAAATGCCACTGTTCAGATCGTGGAAACCCTGACAAAATGTGATGCAAAGTGAACCCCTAAACCCGATGGTTGTTGGGTTTTGTATGGTTTTGTTTGCACATCATGAACAAATAGCTCCAGCCCAACATGAATATCATGAATGCTCTTTGTACAGTAAGTACGGTCCAGTATTCAGAATTGCCCTGTGATTCTCTGCCCGCTGCCTCACATACTACACATGGAAGGAGGCAAACTACAGGACCTAGCAGTTCGTATCGAAATAATTATATATTATATTATGTATGTATAACTAACTACAATATGATATAACAATCACTTAGAAAAAGATGCCCATTCCCCTTTGAGGCTTGAGCTTTTGATGCCCAAGGCACCGTTGCCCTGCTTCGCCGAAGACAAGGACCATGCCGCTTCCTGTCCCAGGTCTCGATGTTCCTCGTCCAGATCTCGGTCCCCCTCCATGGCGCTCCGGACCGGAGGACCCGTCCGGTCGGTTCGGTCACCTCCAGTCGGTGACGAAGGCTGCTGAAGGGACTTGGATGTTTAGAATCAGTCGGTGAATCAACCAATGCCAGGACCAGTGCATTTATTCAATGGCTCCAATATGTGCTCCAATGCCGAAGTAGGGAAAGCATAGAATTCCGAAAGGAGCGTATACTGGAGCGTATATCGATGCAACCGACTGGACGGGAAAGGCTAAGAACATGTGAAAACTGACATTCAGTGATACGAATACAGCACTACACCATGCTTGCAGAATCCAAACGGGTGGGGTTCGACCCGTCGAGTCTACCGGAGTCTATGTTGTCATGATGAAGCAAAGCCAAGTACTGGCATGGTTGATGGTTCTGTGGGGAGTTGCATAAGAGGAGCATGAGAATTCCAGTAGTTTAGGGCAGCGCAAAGCCTAGCGCGGAACTTGTCCTTCGATTCAATGACTGAATGTGACTGTGAGAGTCCTGTTTTGGCACAAATGACATGCGCTGTATGACTGTCATGTCGCGTCCTTTTTGCTCCAGGCGATTCTGGAAGCTCTTTGGCCAGCTTCAGCGCCCAGAAGTGTTCGCATCTATGGTCTTTGGAAGTTCTTTGCAAAAAGATGCAACAAGTAGAACCAAAAGCAGCCTTCCCATTTTAGATCATCTTTTCTCTGTATGCTTCTGGCAGCGCTTTTGCCAGCTTGAGTGACCTTTCTGCACATGGACGGCGTTCGCGACTTATGCCCTGCGCAGAGTCATTTATCTGAGAAAGTCGAACTTTCCCGACAAGTGTGGGCGCTGGAAAAGTTGAGGTTCACCCAATAGCCAAGCAGCCACACACTCTTCACACTACTCTTCTCTCCACTCCCAGACACCCAGCGTATGTGTTCACATCGCCAGGTGGGGAGAAACCTGCGCGGCCATGCTCTGCCCGCTGCTCTGACGGGTCGCTGGCTTGTGCAGCCATTAGGTCAGAGTGGTTCGAAGGTCTTCACACTGGTTAAACGAGGAGTGCCATAAGTCATCATAGAAAAGTGATGTTTCTCAGCTCGGTCAGTCCAAGATAGATCAGCTGGCCGTGTGGTTGAATGGGGCAGTAGTCACGATCTGAATGTTGGCATGTTATTGGTGATGGCTGATGATCTCAAACATCTTTGGAAACATTTTACCAACAATTTACCATTGCCCTCTGGCTTTACGAATAAATTGTCTAGGGCTCCATTAGATCTCCAATCCCTTTTTGACCAAGAAAGGGCCATGATGGGCGACGGGCAAGTCTAGTTTCTGTACTTTCTCTTCACTCTGACCTGAACATGTTCGCTCGTCTCCAATATCTGGTGTTGAAACCCAGAAAACTGGGTGCCCCACGAAAAAACCGAGGAATCGACCCGAGTAGCACACACAAATGGCAAATCTACAAATGGCTGAGAATCACCTTGAAGCTGAGCATTTCGGAACACTGTGTCTAAATGAAGCAAACCTTGAAACTTAGGCAAACTAGGCGAACGGGCCTCATGAAAGCAATTGACAGCTGAAAAGACTCAACCATACTCAACCGGTTTGGGTCCAGCTGAACGAACTCAACCTCACAGGCCTCACACATGGACTTGGCAGCTTGCTCCTGGTGTTTCTCAACCAAGTCTCGGGTCAGTGACACTCAGCTCCAGCCCAGCCACTAAGAACAGTGTGCCTGTGTGCCCTTCAAACTTTTTGCATTCGTCTGAACCGGTATAATGAATGACGGACATTCCCAAACAAAGGTGCAAGCATGGGTCACAATCGGTATTGGTTCACAGCTGTGAAATGTCAAGAGTGGAAAACGTTAAAACAACAACTCGTTGGAAATCCGGTGTCCAATCTCAAAGGCTGGGACCAATTGTGGTAGCAAGAAGCTAGTAACAAGAGCATCGCTACTAATTAGGAACAAAGGGCATTACTACGAGTAGCAAGTAGCTTGTACTTTGGGAAATCGTCGGGTCAAACTGCTTCAGAGCGGTTAGGCGAACGAGCCTCTAAGCCTCACGCGGCTTTAAATACTCAATACATCTCACCTGCAAGGAGCCAAAACAGTGACGATAGTGACGTTCAAAGTGCTGTTGATATGGAATGTGTATTCGAGCATTCGAATGGCCAAGAAAGACATTCACAAAAAATTAGCAAGCTATACAAAGAACACATCAAACAATCCGTCAATTGATTAAATCACTGCAGTACAGTATCCCCATCATCTCCCATGCTCTCTCTATTCTATTCGATTTGTGATACTATGTGACGTCACCAAAACCGAAAGGATTCACCGAGCTCCACCGGTCCGAAGAACACGAGGTGGGTTTCATGCAGCTTCAGGCCTGGCCGAAGAACACCTACATGTTGAAGCATTTCATCCTCCAAGAGAGTCAACCTGAAATCAAGGAAGCAACCTCTTGAGTTTGTTAAAGCATGCCAAGAAACACAAGAAAGATATGAACTTCTTCTGGAGAATTTATGTACAAGACATCACATGGGTCGGACCAAACACACCCTGCCAAACACCTAGAAGTCTGCACCAGTCTCTTGGTTCACGCATAATACCGACTCTGTATGTTATCCTGCCCTCCTCCTTGGGCCCAGCGGCATAAGAGCTATAAGAGTCCCAAGTGCCGTCCCAATCTTGGGGTGGCGGAACTCTTGTCAACGTCGTGCAACGTTCGACCATCCTTGGTGAAAAAAAAGGATGGTATACGGTATAGTGTGTTAGGAGCTTGCCACAACTACACTCATCAACACTGACTCCAACACCATGATCTGTACTACTGTATACAGTTTTTCTGTGCAACAGTGCAACAATGCTGAGAGTCAAGGATGATGGCACATCCTCCCCATCATTTATGTCTGCCAAGATCGAATTCACTTGCTCGAACTTCCTTGCAGCATTGGCAAACCTCAGCGTTTCGGGACTTCGTTGCCACCGTGCTTCCGGAAGTCCAAGAAGTAGACGAACAAACAAGGAACTGTGGTGAGTCACCCACAGTTCCACCGAAGCGGAGTAACCCCCCGAAACCATTCAAAAACCTGACAAAGGAAGTCGTCGTTGGCGACACCTGAGCAAATTCCATAGGAGGAGCCGGAACGTGAACAAGGGCCTTGCTGTGATAATCATGGGTGTTTCTAGAAGATGCGGCACGAACCCCCAGGTTCCAGCACAAAACTTTTTCACTCACCCACGTCCGACATTTTTTGGCGCACCAGGGGACTCCAGTCTCCGGTATTCGTAGATTGCCTCCTGGTGAAGGGAGATGATGCGGTTGACCATCGATGGCCTCATGCTCTCAAGCAGCAACGCGAACAGTTTGAAAGAAGGACTTGGACCGGGGCATGTCAAAAAGCATGGACACATCTGCAGGCTCTGCCTAACAAAAACAATTTGCTAACCCCATGTTGTATGTCTACAGTTTCCACGATTCTCGTAAGCTGGGCTTGTTGGCAGGCGCCGCAGTGCCGAAAGTCAACTCCCTCCCTGCGCTTTTTCGAGTCATGAAACATGTCCCCGAGGCGGTCAAAAAAGGGTCCTACATCCTCAGCAGCTATCAAACATCTATGTACCTACCTATCTATTTTATATATATATATGAGATATATGTTTTTTTTATATATATATATTTTCTTTAAAGGTTATTTATACTATAAGATATATATATATGCGGTGTATAGGGAAATAGACCCAGACCCCCCTTCGTTGGGGTCTCCCTGCTAAAGTACACCCATATATAATGAGTGGAATTGTGGATGATTGTGGATGCCTTGCTCCGCCCTCATCGACGGCGGCCAATGACTGGAGTGACACGCCGTTCTGCCGAGCATCCGCTTGGCTCTCATGGGCATTACCTGCCATTTGTGGCGAGCTTCAATGTGCAAAGATCAGGGAGGGGAGGAACTACTACTAGAAGTAGTGCTAGTTAAACTTAAACACATATATTATCAAGAGTAGGAGCCCCTGGATATATTTGCTAAAGGTGTGGCCATGTTTGCTTGACAATATTGACATCGAATGCTTAATGTTATGAAGTCAGCTGTCCCTCGACGGTGATGCATCACAATTGGCCAAACTGTCGCGAGATGTCGTACGGTCGCATCTCCTTTGGGAGGCTTTCAACCAAGGGAGTGTCGCACGGATTAGAACATCATGTCGGAACATCCGACGTGCGGAGTCGAGAGCAACGCCCTTCCCGCCCAAGCAGGGGATGAGTGATTTTTCACCACACCGAGCGGAACGACACTGATGTGCTGGGCCAGGAATGACTCGACTCTCAGCAACATGAATAGAATATATATATATATATATGTTGACCCCATGGATCTGCAGAGACGCACCGCTGCTTTTTCAGCGGGGCACACCTGTCTTTGATGATGGCCTCATGGCCAAGGTCTATCGGAGGCACTTCGCACAACTCCAAGGATCTTGTAGTAGTCATCAGAATTGACATCTGGAGCTGGCGAGGTGCCAACGCACTGAGCGATCGTGTCTCTGCTGATGGTTCTCTAAAGCTGGCCTTCAAGTGTCTATGAACAACAACATGAGGTCTAATCACTGCATCACAAAAAATCCCAACATTTCCCAACCGACCAGTGCGAAAGGATTCCAATCAGTGCGGCGGATTGCGGGGCGGCACTTGAGCACGTGGCCAGTGTTGGCCGAGTAAGGGACTTACAATTGAGCCAAGAATGATACAAACGAGATTCAAAGCAAGGGCGGTGAAACTATCACTGTGGGGCTGTACTTGAGTGGGAGGTGGCATGGTGTGCACTACGGGCACCGGCGTCTGTGGTTCAACAGCAGCTATACCCACGGCTGAGTCTAGTTGAAATGAGAGTTCATCGAGCACAGCATCAAAGAGCACCGAGAGTGCACCCATGCTATAGCGGATCAGCAACTTAATGCTGACCGTGACTAGTTTCCTCAATACCAAATACAGGCGGGGCCTAGTGAAAAAGACACTAAGTACAAAAATCACCAACAGGCTCCACCATACGCGTCCCCTGAGTTTGACCAGGGCCCACATGAACCAAGCTTTAAACTTAGAAAAGAAAGACTGGGGGTTG